TAGGGAATGCATTTGGTACTGTGGATTTAGCAGATACCTTCTAACACTTATTCCTTAAGTGTATTAGGCTCAAAACTCCTTAGAATAACCTTTAATCGGGCTAGAACTTCGTACTAATGAGTTTGACACTCAGTTGAGTTGATTGACTGTGTCTATAAAGCAAAAACATTTCGAGTTGTCACAGGAACCCTAAAATGAAGTTTATGGGGTTTAAATACGAATGAAACCCTAAAAGATTGTAGGTTTGGGCTGGAATGTATCTCACGTCGTGAGCTCTTATTGCTTATGTCGTTAGATCATTTTAAATCAAAATTTTCATTTGATCACTCCTCACTTCATGACCCTTCTATGGTCACGTCGTGAGCCTTGATTTTACACAAAAACCATGCCTTTGACTCCTTGAAGCCCTAAGTCGATCCGATTTGGAAACGGGTGTTACAATATTTGAAATGCTAGTTCACAAAACATATAAGTCACAAGTTTATTTGTAACACTTTTTTGGGTCAAACCCAATAATTTCACGACTCAAACCAACATTGTCTAGTTGCCAACATGTGACGTTGATGGATTCAAAATGTGTGTCTATATTGATAGCTTCAGCATGTGGTTTTGAATACTTGACAACATAACTCAAGGAAATATGAATACGAAGAAGATGATTTGAAGACTTTGTAGTGAGGATCAAGTTGTTTTAAATAGAGGATATTGTTTCCTTATATGCATGAAGACTCTTTATCTCTATAGGAATTGTGTATTGTGAATGGACCTAGTATTTATGTAATTTTAGGGTTTTGTTTATTATATGTATTCAGTATTCAAAAGTTTTTTAAGTGAAAACTATTTGGAGATTGTGTTCTTAATTATATTTGGTTTTGTAATTTACTCTTTTGTTTATGAAATTGTTTGTAATCAATAAAGAATCAGTTTATGAGTATTTTTTGTCTTCTTTATATTCCTTATTGTTGATTTCATAGCTAAGGACTAACAATCGGTATCAGAGTAGTCATCTCAACTAATCTACTCTTGCAACAAAAAATGGTATCTCTTCATCAAACATTGTCTCTTTCACATCCAACTTGATTAACAAATTCCTTCCTTTTGATGAGAACAATTTCACCACGTGGTTAATTAAAACCATGATAGTTCTTGAAACCATTGACTACAACATGCTTGAAATCATCATCAATGGTCCATACATTCTAATGAGTCAAGTCATAAAAAAGGTGTTCCAAACAAAACATTCAGAACTCAGATGAATCAATGGACAAAAGATGATAAGAAGAAAGTAAATCTTGATGTTAAAGCTAGAGCAACGATACATAATGCCTCACCATAGAATGTTTATCACATGGAAGAAAATCATATGTATATAAAAGAGATGATCCAAACATTGAAGGTAGCATATGATGGAACTGAAGAGGTTAATGATAATAAAGAAAATAGCCTTTACCAGGTATGAATATTTTTTTCTATAAGAATGAATCTATTACTCACACTTTCAATAGATTTAATTGTTTAGTTAATTATATTAGAAAATTCAATATTGAAAAGTCTAATTATATACGCTAGTGTTAAAGTTTCTTGATCTCAAGATAAAATTTTTGAACATCATCTTCGTCAAAAATATAGATCTTCTTTTCTCCTATCAAGGAACAAAAGAGTTGCCGATGAAACCCTAAGTGAATAAGAAAGTCAACTTGTTTCTAATAATGAAAAAGATGAAGAATAGTCTCAATTTTCTAAAATTGCTTCTCTAGTTGCCTTAATTGTGAAGCAAATCAACAGCTTTAAGAATACCAAGAAGTTCAAACCAGGATAGAGAAAGTATGCTATCGTTCCAAGGAAAACGAAAGATGAAGTCACTTCTCACACTAATAAACAAAAATCAACATCAACTGATTAATGTTTTAAATGTGGTGAGACCGGAAACGTTGCTAAAGGCTGTAATGGAAAAAGAATTGGTCAAGAGGAAGACATATAAAGCATAGTATAAGTGTAATGTCCCATTTTCACAACAAAATTTTCATTTTTAATTAAGGTAAAACTTTACATTTATAAAATCCAAGTTAAGAAAACCATTTGCTCCAAAGTACATTTGTTTAAAATTCAGAGTAATATAATAAACACAGAATCTCCATTGTTGCTGACAAATGTATATAGTCACACCTTTCCCTTCCCACGATCATCATTATTACCTGAAAAAACTCACGTCAACCCTAAAGACGAGATAAACCACCAACTCGATCTGACAATATCAAGCCTCCCCTTGCTAAACATATCCACAATAACCCTAATTATCAATTAAGGAAATGACTGGCCCATGAAAGGTCTAGGCTCACAATTAAACCTCCTTTAGGCAAGAGACCATTTTTTCCCTTCCCATACTAAGTCCCAACATGGTGGACCAAAAGTCAAACCGGTCAAAAAATCAACAATCAACACTTAGTTGACTTAAGCCCTGTGTAACTAATTTATGCCTTGTGTAGAGCCCTTGATCCTAAAAAACTTCTATTAAGCTCTTAATACAACAAGCCAAACTCTCAAACTCCTAGATATGATCTAAATGAATGTCTTAATGGATAAAGTCTCTGACTTTATCCCTTTACATGGCCAAGATAAACATCCAATCAAACTCTAAGTCCAAGATGATACTTTTTGCTCAATAATTCATGCATGGATGGGTGAGAGTTCCCAAGCTCTCATTTTTATGACTCTAAAACCTCAAAAACATCAGAAGGAAGCATTCAAATGGTCTGGAGCAACCCATACTCATAAGAACCAAGGTTAAGGGACAAAAAGCATAAAAACTCATGAGCTAAGTTGATCTAACAAAAAGGAACATCAATATGCAAATCTTTTATACCTTTTAGAGATAGGTGATGAAATGCAAAGGCTAGATCTACAAAGCTTAGAGCTCAAACTTGCTTCTCTGATGAACTCCTTCAAGAAAGCACATAAATCACACTAATGCTTCCAAAATTCAGAATTGGTGGCTAGGGTTTCAAAGGAACAATATAAGGTGATGGAGGTTCGATATGGGAAGGTTTCCAAGAAATTAGAGCCCTTAATTAGGGCTCAAAACATTAGGGTTAGGGTTTTGGTCAACAACGGCTACGCCCTACATAGCAAAATCTACACCATGCGTAGATCATTAAATCGAGATCTGATTCCAGCATCTACGCCATGCGTAGATCTCCTACGCCCTGCATAGGGCAAAATCCCCAACTCCCAATTCAACTTTAAACAACCATAACTTCTTCTTTTCAACTTCGTTTTTGGTGTTCTTTATATGCGCATAAATGTATTGAAAAATCCCATAATCCTGTATAGTTACTTTTGGTGTAACACATGTTGAACTAAAACCATAATCCATGCAAAACACCCAACATATAACTTTTCCCATTTTACCCTTTGGTTCTAGCATACGAATCAAGGACTTAGATCTCATAAGCAATATTATCAACCTTCAATAAGGTCCAAACTTTACTTTCTTAAAGCCCAAAGCCTTTACATTATCGAATTACCGTCCAAGAACCCTAAATTAAGGAATGTCCTGAAACAAAGTATTACAATAAAAGATTGGTTGCCTCACTAAAAAGGAAAATATGGTATAAAGGTTCTGACATCCGAAGAAGATAATTGGGAAGCTCAGAAGCAACATCTGATTATAAGAAAATTGAAAGAAAAGATTTGTGTCTGATGGCAAATATAGAAGATTCAAGCTGATGTCAAAGACAATGTGATGCTAAATTGGGATCAATCTTCTTTCTATCCATCAGTTTTCCAAGTTCAATAAATATATTGATAATGAGAAGCCATTGATGGTTGATTATCTGTGTTTCGATCTCGAGAAACCTCATCAAGAAAAATTATAACTTAAACAAAAAAATAATGATATGTTCTCAAAGCTTAACACAAAATTAACTGAACTCTCAAACATGACAACTGATTTACCAAACCAGAAGGTGATAAATAAGATTCTCATTGATGAAAGAAATAAAATTGTTAATGACTCTAGAAACATCAAAAGAATCATAAAAAAACTGGACCACATCTCACACTACCGTTACCAAAATCGTAAATGATCAAATTTCTTTTCAAGATACAAAAGTAATTGGTGGTGAATTTTAAGAAGCTTTTGATATTTATGAATGAATAAAACATGAACCATGTTTTCCTGAAAACGGATGAATTAATTCATGATTTCAATACAAAGTTTGTCAAGTCCGATGAATCTAAGGATCGAGACATAATTATTAAACATTATGTAATAGATTATTTTGGTAAGACTAGTCTGATAAGGCACATTACTGCAAAGAATCCATATGCGAAAAGTCATTTTCAAGAGTCTACCAAACATGCTGTTAAAACTCAAATTAAATTTCCAGTTTCTAATGGTGAAGTACATTTTGCATTAAACATTGTAACATCAACACTGATGATAAGCAAGCTAAAAGAGTTCATAGTGAAACCTCAACTTTTATCAACATTGAGAGAGATCATCAACATCAGCTGATGTTGACACAATCTCTTAGGTTGATGCATGTAATCACAATCAAAACATATCCATATGTTTATCAATATGAAGCGTTCAAATCAAGTTAAACAATTAAAATTTAACAAAATCTGGAAAGTTAAAAGTTCTCACATTGATAAATCTTTCACAGGTAATTCCTCAACATCAAAGAAAATGAAATTTGGAAAGAGAAAATATTATAACTGTGGTGACAAATCTCATGAAGCCTAAAGCTGCCCTCGTGAGAAAGGAACCAAAAGAACTGACAACATTATGTTAAGATGCCGAAAGTGTAACAAGAAAGAAAATTCATTAAATCGTTTTCCTTTAGAGTGTCATAGTATTTTTCCTTCGCTCCATATGCATTAATCAAACACATTTATATGGATTATGTTTCTAAGAAAATTATTTCATTCATAAAACGTATCGAGTTGTCTGTCGACAACAAGTGAAAGAGCTTAAGAGTGATCATGACATCGAATTCAAGGATTTCACTTTAGAATCATTTTGTGATGATAAAGGTATCATACAAAACAGGAACTAAAAATAAAGCAACAAAACCCTGTTCAGCATATATCCAACAAAAACCAAATATCATAAACTGATCCTTTCTCCATTGAATCCCAATTACAATTGGTCAACATTATTACCAACATTACATTTCGTTTAACAAGGAAACATTATTTATGCTAAAACGGCATTGCAGATACTATGGTTTTGTAAGGATTAATTTCTACAGAATTTGCATAAGTTTTGGTTTAGAGCTTAGAAGTTATGCTTTTGGGGTCATCAAAAGTAATCATCACCTTCCCTATTACTTTTCTGTCCTTAATATCCGAAAATGCAAGATTCGCCTGCAACAAGTTTTTCATGTTAATTGATTGAGAAAACCAAAGTTTATTCTAGTATATTAGACATTTGAGCAATAACCAAAATTGAACTCTTGTTTGTCACCTCTTGGAGTTTGTATGAATTAGAAATGTAGATGGTAATTAAGCCTCTTGCCAACCAAGATAGCAGCTCCTTTAAAGAGTCTTCAAGTACACTTGAATGATGCATCTTATAGCTCCCCCAATAGAGTCCATGAATTGTCCAATTCTGAAAGAAAAATATAATACAAAAGTTCATGTTGTGGGTCTTTCATTTAATACAAAAAAGATTATGAAAGTTGTTTACCTTAACAAGAGCAATATTAGCAGGAATAACAGGGACCTCGCCACTTGCAAACCCTATCACCAAAATTTGTGCTCCCCAATTCAACAACTTCATGCTTTCTTTCATAAGCTTGCCTCCAACAGGATCATACACAACATCAACCCCTTTAAGCTTTTTAGTTTTCAAGAACGACTTTACACTTTCAATAACACCTCCTTTGCTCAAGTCAACAACATGATCCACACCCATTGACTTCAAGAACTCTACTTTCTCAGTTCCTCTGAGATTTCAAACAAAAGCATTTTCACAATTGATGTAAAACTAAAAGCAGTATAGAGAATTACACACCTAGCAACAGCAATGACAATGGCACCACAAACTTTTCCTATTTGAACAGCTGCAAGACCAACACCTCCGGCTGCACCAAGAACTAGCAACACCTGCAAATCATTGAATAATTTTCGAGTTTTCACACATGTAAATCAAATGCTTAGTATGATCAATGGTAACATAAATCAAAAGAGAAAATGTTTTTTTTTTTTTGAAGAAATTGACGATATAAGCTGATAGTGAATGAATACCTGACCAGACTTGAGATTGGCCCTATGAACCAATGCCACATGAGATGTTCCGTACGCAACTGGAAGAGCGCCGGCAGCCACCAGATCACATCCATCAGGAACTCCAAACCTTCAATTGAGGGAAATGTTTAGTGAAAAATTCAGCGCATAATCAAGCTTCGTATCCAGAAAAATGAAACGATTACTCACAAATCCTTCTCTTCGGCAACGATAAATTGGGCGAAAGAACCGACACCAGCGAAGGAACAAACAGGATCGCCGACTTTGAACTTGGTGACTTTAGGACCGATGGATTCGACAACACCGGAGTAATCGGATCCAGGAACGAAAGGCAAGGCGAATTTTTCTTGATACTTACCGAGGACTTGAAGGTAGTTGGCATAATTCAAGCTGGTGGACTTGATTCGAACTCTGATTGAAGTTGGAGAAGTGAGTTTGGGAATAGGGTGAGATGTTGAGACAGTGAGAGCGGTGTTTTCCGATGAATCCGGTTGGGTTGTTGGGTCACCGAGCTTCCTGCATAACAAAGCTTCCATTTCTTTCGATATAGTCAAAAGGAAACCACAGGGCGTTAGGATGAGGAGATGGAGGAGAAAAATGAAAATGTAAATTTAAATATGATTCTTGTTATATAATTTACACTAGATTATAACCCGTGTTAAACGCGGGAAACGTATAAAAAAAACATATAAATGTCTACAAATTTTACATAATAATTATTAAAAAAAAGTTATGGTTATCGGTATTCTTAAAATGTGTAGATGATACATTGAAATCGATAAATATCTATAATCATTGAAGAACATCTTTGTACACAACATTTTTTTTGTTTTATTAGTTGAACGATATTCTTCGTCGTCACATATAAATACCTTCAAAATCATAGATAATTACATTAGTGTAATTTGAAGAACGATTGATGGGTAAAATATTAGGGACACAAAAACATTGAGAGTAGAATGCCTAAACGTTTAGAACAAACTTCAAGATTTTGACCCGTAACAGCCACCTGTTCAAAGCCATTTTAACACCACCAAGGACTGCAAATTATACAAAAATTTTGTATATTCCAGTAGTTTATACTTTTAGCTTTTCAGAAAGTACTTTTAAAAGTCCAAACGATTTTTCTACAATTTTATATGATTTTTACAAAACAGTCTATCCGTACAGCTAATTTCCGACCAGGCAATGAAAAAGGCGATTTTCACCTAAATTGGAGGCAACAACAGGTCTTGGAAAAATTCATGGACAAACAAAACTCAAAATGAAAACTTTGAGAGTTTACGGATCACTGATACGAGTTCTGATGATTTTTCTACATTTTTTTTCAAAAAAGGGACATAATGGGAAATTTTCAGAATTTCCCAGTAATGCATTGTAAGGACTTTTTGACCACTTAACCTATTAAGTCATAACCAAAAACACCCATAAAGATAAAAATTGAGTTCTTAACAGTAGAAACTTGTCAAGAAACATTAATAGCAATTTTATCCTCACACCAAGGTTCAAATTAGTAATCAACAAAGAAAACAAGGTGTCCAAAACATGGAGTAATACATGAACATGAACTAAGAATTCTTAAGGGTGTTCATAACCACGTTTTGACAGCAATAAACCATCAAAATACACCCAATAGAATTAGAATTAAACATATGAACTTTCAAAGGTTTCTTGGAAGAAGAAGATGAGATTGTAATCATCAATTAGGAAGGAAATTAACAACAACAATCTTCAATTGACCAAGAGTTTGATATATGAACACAAGGAAAGAGATTAGAAGAGAATTTTTTTTTACCACAATTAAGCCAAGAATCGCAGCCGTCTTCCCTCTAGGATCGATCAAGCAGATCCTTCTCTCTTCTTCCTCCTTGCTCGTCTCGACTTTTCTTCCCCTCCAAGCCGCTCACGTTTGTTTTTTCCAATGTTTTAAAACCCGGGTTGACCCGGCCGGTTCAACCGGTCGGACCGTGACCCGGGGTAGAAGGCGGGTCAATTGAGACCGGTTTTTTGTAAAAATACGAACCGGATCGAACCGGCCGGGTTTCCTCTAAACCGCGGTTCAACCGCTTATGTCGAACCGGTTAAAACCGGATTGACCCGTTTTAATAGGGTTTGGATAGTTGAAAACAAGTAGCGAAGACCAAAACAACGAGCCGTTTGCGGTTTCATCAATGTTTTTCAATGTTTTTAAATATTTAAACTTTGTGGACATTAAATTATTGGTTTTATATGTTTATGCATTATGCATGAAAGTAAAAATATATAAAAATAGAGAAAGACCATAAATCGGGTTGACCCGGCGGTTCAACCGGTTGAACCGGTTGACCTGTGAACCGGTCATCATACTGGGTCAACCAAAAACCCGGGTTTTAAAACATTGGTTTTTTCTTTTCTTCTTGGCCTTCAACCGACGACGCACACAATGAAGGAAGTAGTGATCGGTTTTTTTTTTTTCTTATTATTATTATATATTCACGTGAGTGGATGGACACAAGGATAAGGATCGATCCTTCACCTTGGGGTTACTCCAAATTTTTGCCAGTCCCCTTAATTCTTAGTATTGTACCCCATTTACACTAACACTAACCCTAGTATTCTTGACAAATTAGATTTCTGTAAATGACATCTTAGCCCTCAACTCATAATAAACCCTAAAATTAATTATTTTTATCCTAATAATTCCATAAATCAAATTAATTTGCACATTTTTTGTGATAATTTTTTTTTGATATTAAATAATACTATTTTTAGTTAATTTATTCTCTTTTAACCTCATAAAACTAAAATATTTTGCATAAATAGTTCTTTGAGTAACGAAACAACTAACGTCGTTTATTATAGGATTTTTGGGTCGTTATATATATATATATATATATATATATATATATATATATATATATATATATATATATATATATATATATATATATATATATATATATATATACAGAGAGAGAGAGGCATATTGGTAAGTTTTGTTATTTTATATGAGAAAAATAATAATTATAATGTGAGAATACTATCTAAAAAAATAATTCCTTGAAATATTTTTGGAGGGAAAAAATCGAGATCATTAAAAATTTTTATATAAGGCAAATACAAATTTAGAATGAGTGAAGTTATGGATGAAATTATTGACGAAAATTATTTTGGAGGGAATTTTATTTTGTAAGGTATAATACTATGACAATATTCGAAATATGTATATTTATTGTGTAAATTTATAAATTTTATAATTACTATATAAAGATAAAAACAAAATAGGTTGGTATGTTATATAATAAAAAATTAATCATATTATTTTAATGTTAATGTTGCTTATAAAATCGAAATATATATGTATCTCTCTCTCTCTCTCTATATATATATATATATATATCGGTAAGTTTTATTACTTTATATGAGGAAAATAATAATTATAATGAGAGAACATTATCTAAAAATAAATGCATTAAATATTTTTAGAGAGAAAAAAATCACGATCATTAAAAAAATCATATATGGAAAATACAAATTCAAATTAGGTAGAATTATGAATGAAATTAATGACGATTAAATAGGTAGGTTACTATTGAATCCGATTTTGGAAAGTTTAAATTTGATAAAGGAAACTGAGTTATTAAAATAATATATTTTATGGATATAAGGGAAATACAAATTTAAATTTGATAAAGGAATCGCATCTACTCTAATAAATGAAAATAATTTTACCAAATGTCACACTCTCATTCATTTGGTCATATGTTATTTTGTGGTTATTTTCAATTAAAATTTTTCCACATGGCATTTTGTGGTTTTTTCCATTTAATTAAACTTCATATAACATTTAAATATAATAATTGCAATAAATATAATAATAAATGCATATCAATTTTAATAATTAACTTTCCTTCTAATTTCAACATTTTTAAATTAAAACTTCATTAGTTTCCTTTGTTTATTTACCTAAATTATTTGTTCAAATTTAAAAGAGAAAAAATTTTAATTTTAATAATTCAATATTTTTTTTATTTTTCTTATAAATTCAAACTTTTTCAAAATTCAAATGTTTAGAATTGTCATATTTAATTTATTTTCTTTTAAATGAACCCATGTAATACATGGGTCTTATACCTAGTTACATCATAATATATGTTTGATTGTTTATCTTGATCATAGATAGATAATCCTTATATATATATATATATATATATATATATATATATATATATATATATATATATATATATATATATATATATATATATATATTCATTCATAGTCCAAATCTATCTTAAAATCAATTTGGTGTACTTAGCTTGCATGATCATTGAGGTTAATGTTCATAAATTGACATACACTAATTAGTCTGATCATGATAACTAATAACTTTTAATTTGATAACCAACATAAATAATCCATTGCTTGAAATTAACTATAGGAAATGGGGGATTCGAAGCTAAACGAAAATATCTTTTAAATCTTGATCAAAACTCGTTTTCTAGTTCTTTGCTTTAGTTTAAAGTGTTTTTAGTAGATTACTTTAAGTAAATTTTTCTAAACCTGAAAAATAGTTCGACTATTAGTATTATTTTCTTAACTAGAATTCAGTTCCATGTGTACGACTCTTAGTTACTCTACTCTACTATTGCATGACTAAGTACACTGCCTATTGTCTTTTAGCTGAGTGGAATAAATGGGATATAAATTTTAAAGCTTTGTTTTATAACATGATCATAAGACGACATCATTAACACTGAAAGGAAAGTAGTTTTGAGTGCTAAAAAGATTCAAGATATCTATATTTTGATATGTTCACGGGAAACAAAGAAATGAAGATCTGTTTTCTTTCAAAGACTCGATCTATTTTGAAATGGTTACGACATAAGCGTCTGTCTCATCTAAACTTTAAGACAACCTCAAAGTTGTCAAATGATGAGCTTGTTAGAGGAATTCTAAAAATAAAGTTTGTTATAAACAAAGTTTGTTAATCTTGTGAAAATGAAAGCAACACAAAACCTCTTTTAGATTAAAAAAAAATGTTCTTCCATCAACTCTCATCTCCCCCAACATCACGTGGACCAATTCATGTTCAAAACCCAAAGCCTTGTAGGAAAAAAGATACTCATCGGTTATAGTTGATGAATTCCCAAGTTTTACTTACATGAGTTATGTTTCTAAGAAAAAAGAGGACACATCTGATGAAATTATTTCATTCATAAAACATATTGAGTTGTCTCTAGACAACAAGTGAAGCATCTTAGGAGTGATCATGACACCGAATTCAAGAATTTCACATTAGAATCTTTTTGTGTTGATAAAGATATCATACAAAATTTATCAGCTATGAGAACCCCAAAACAGGAACTAAAAATAAAGCAACAAAACCTTGTTCAGCATATATCCAACAAAAACCAATTATCATAAACTGATCCTTTCTCCATGAATCCTAATACAATCAGTCAACATTATTACTAACATTACATTTCATTTAACAAGGAAACATTATTTATGCTAAAACAGCATTGCAGATACTATGGTTTTGTAAGGGCTACTTTCTACAGAATTTGCATAAGTTTTGGTCCAGAGCTTAGTGGTTATGCTTTTGGGGTCATTAAAAGTAATCATCACCTTCCCAATTACTTTTCTGTCCTTAATATCCGAAAATTTAAGGTTCGCCTGCAACAAGTTTTTCATGTTAATTTCAATGTTTCTCTATGGTAAAACCAAAGTTAAGTCATATGGATGGTCTTAATTAGAACCAAAAGTCATGTTATTCAAGTATATTCGTGAAGGGTATATTAGGCATTTGAGCAATAATCAAAATTGAACGCTTGTTACCTCTTGGAGTTTGTATGAATTACAAATGTAAATTAGCCTCTTGCCAACCAAGATAGCAGCTCCTTTAAAGAGTCTTCAAGTACACTTGGATGATGTACCTTATAGCTCCCCCAATAGAGTCCATGAATTGTCCAATTCTGAAAGAAAAAATAATACAAAAGTTCATTTTGTGGGTCTTTCATTTAATACCAAAAAGTTAATAAAGTTGTTTACCTTAACAAGAGCAATATTAGCAGGAATAACAGGGACTTCACCACTTGCAAACCCTATTACCAAAATTTGTGCTCCCCAATTCAACAACTTCATGCTTTCTTTCATAAGCTTGCCTCCAACAGGATCATACACAACATCAACCCCTTTAAGCTTTTTGGTTTTCAAGAACGACTTTACACTTTCAATAACACCTCCTTTACTCAAGTCAACAACATGATCCACACCCATTGACTTCAAGAACTCCACTTTCTCAGTTCCTTTGAGATTTCAAACAAAAGCATTTTCACAATCGATGTAAAACTAAAAGCAGTATAGCGAATTACACACCTAGCAACAGTAATGGCAATGGCACCATAGACTTTTCCTATTTGAACAGCTGAAAGACCAACACCCCCAGCTGCACCTGCAAATCATTGAAAAAATTTCGAGTTTTCACATGATTATTTGTAAATCAGATGCTTAGTATGATCAATGGTAACATAAATCAAAAGAGAAAATGTTTTTTTTTGAAGAAATTGACAATATAAACTGATAGTGAATGATTACCTGACCAGACTTGAGATTGGCCCTATGAACCAATGCCACATGAGATGTTCCCTATGCAACTAGAAGTGCGCCGATAGCCACCAGATCACATCCATCAGGAACTCCAACCTTCAATTGAGAGAAATGTTTAGTGAAAAATTCAGCGCATAATCAAGCTTCGTATCCAGAAAAATGAAACGATTACTCACAAATCCTTCTCTTCGGCAATGATAAATTGGGCGAAAGAACCGACACCGGCAAAGGAACAAACAGGATCGCCGACTTTGAACTTGGTGACTTTAGGACCGATGGATTCGACAATACCGGAGTAATCGGATCCAGGTTCGAAAGGCAAGGCGAATTTTTCTTGATACTTATTGAGGACCTGAAGGTGGTTGGCATAATTCAAGCCGGTGGACTTGATTCGAACTCTGATTGAAGTTGGAGAAGTGAGTTTAGGAATAGGGTGAGATGTTGAGACAGTGAGAGCGTTGTTTTCCGATGAATCCGGTTGGGTTGTTGGGTCACCGAGCTTCCTGCATAACGAAGCTTCCATTTCTTTCGATATAGTCAAAAGGAAACCACAGGGCATCAGGATGAGGAGATGGAGGAGAAAAATGATAATGTAAGTTTATCGAGTCGGAATGAAAGAAAAATAAAAATAAAAAATTTTGTTTTCCTTTTTTGATCAATTTGAAATTGGTGGATGAATTTTTTCTTAAAAAATGCAAGAACATGTTTTTCTCTATTAATCTTTTTTAGTCATATTTTTTTTACTTCTTTAAAACAACTGGATTCATGTGCTTGCAAAGTTGATTTGAAATATGATTATCGTTATATAATTTACACTAGATTATAATCCGTGTTAAACGCGAGAAACATATAAAAAACATACAAATGTCTACAGATATTACATAATAATTATTAAAAAAAAAGTTATGGTTATTGATATTGTTAAAATGTATAGATGATACATTGAAATCGATAAATATTTATAATCATTAAGAACATCTTTGTACACAACATTTTCTTGTTTTATTAGTTGAACGATATTCTTCATCACATATAAATACATTCAAAATCATAGATAATTACATTAGTTAATTTGAAGAACGATTGACGGGTAAAATATTAGGGACAAAACTTTTAGCTTTTTTTTTTCTTCAAGAAGATGAATTGTCACCTGAATTCATCACTTTGTTTTAGTGTTAATATTTCTTATATATATATATATATATATATATATATATATATATATATATATATATATACACACTAATGGCGTACCCGCACGATGCTGCAGCGCTAGATAGTTTTCATGCAGCGAAAATGAGATTGTTCGTTTCAGCCTTTCGTCGGATTGTTTTCAGTTGGATAGTTACGTTTGTTGAATAGTTTCTAGTTAGGTACGTACATGCAGGGGTATAATAGTTTCATATCTGGTGTTATCTATTGTTCTGGCTTTTATTTTACCATTATTTTTTGGGGTTCATAAAATGATTATGAAAAAAACATATCGATACATCTTCTGTTTTTTTGAAAAGGACGATGAATTTGCTTTCTCCTAACTATATTGTGTTAGAAATAAAATTATATTGCATTTTGGGTTAAATATAAGTGTACATTATTTTTTTATGAATGATAAAATCATTTCATGATTACGTTTAGTTTCATTTCCATGATTAGTTTCATTTCCATTTTCATGATTTGGTTCCACTCCTTTTCTTTTGATCCGGACTACAAAAAATAACTTTGGATTGACTCCAAGTGTTTGGTATCCATTGTTAAATCTGACTCAGTTTAAACTTCTAACTTCTAACTCAGTTATTAACTATCAAACGAACCCTTAACGTTTAAGTCTATATTTTTTTTTGTTCATATGGAGATTGAAAGGTTACATTCATATTACTATTAAGAGTAAATTACATGCTTGGTGCATGAAGGGTTCCCTTTAACGTCAATGGAATAAGGGGCCCAAAAATGTTATAAAAGTGTAGTTTTATGGACCATCAATGATGAAATTAATCTTGTTGGCTAAATGTGTTAATTTGAGCAAACCAGAGGGACCAAACATGTAATACACAAATGTGTAGTTTTCAGGACCTTCAATCATGAAATTAATCTTACGGGCTAAATAAGTTAATTTCAGCAAACCAAAGGGACCAAACATGTAATAAACATATGGTATTTATGTATCTGATGCATTTGCAACTATAATTTCGTAGCAATTAAATCAAAATAATTATTGTGTCTTTTTTATGTTAATGTTGATACTTGTATTTATAAAAGTGAAAACTTAAAAATACAACTGATTTAGTAAACTAAATCAATTTCATTTAGTTGTTATTTTTGATGTATGACTGGAAATAAAAATAAAATATTATATAAAACAACCATGTAATACCCCGGTTTAACATGAGTGAAAACAAATACCAAAGCTAGAAACATTTGTTACAATGATCCATCAACAACCTCAAACCATCAGCAACTCTGTATAATGTCCTCATTTCCAAAACTTGTTCAAGGGCCAAATTGTCTTATTTATGGCAAATTTACATCACTATCTAAATGATCGAGGAAGGCAAAAGAGCATTAAATGTGCATTATCATCCTTAGAAAAAGATGATAATATGAGTTTCCATTAAAATCACATTCTTCAAAGTTTTTTTTTCTTTAATCAACAATACTATCTAAAATCCGGTTATCAATATAGGGATAATGACTTGAAAGGGTAACGAACTTTCGACTTTTGTCACATTTAGTCACTAAATTTTTTTCGTTATCCATTTGCCATTGAACTATTGAAACTGTTCACATTTTACCCTTATGACCGGCTGTTGCCGGTCATAAGGGTAAAATGTGAACAGTTTCAATAGTTCAATGACAAATAGATAACGAAAAAAATTTTAGTAACTAAATATGAACAAAATCGAAAGTTCGTTTCTCTCCAAAAAGTTAAATGACTAAATGTGAACAAACTTCTTCTTGTATTATGTTTTAGCAATTTATTTATTTTTGTTAAATTGTAGCAATATTTGTTGATGAAGAAATCTATGAAATAAAAAAAAATATATGAAAAAAAAATAAAAAAAAACCCATAAAATATATTTAAAAAAACAAAAAACCAAAACCGAAATACAAAACCAATGGTTTGATATTTTCCAAAATAAAAATCAAAATTTCCAATCTGATTTTGGTTTTACAAAAAAATGAACCATTCTCACTGATGTGAATTATGACCATTGGTTTGGCATGCGAAATTTGTGACATCCCATGAATATGTAGTTACAACTGATGGGTTTTGAGCATTCTAACACTTCCTAAGTGTACATGCAACCCTAATAACCTTGGATCTATGTTTGTCTAATTATCATGCAAAGTTGAATTCCAAGGTTATATTCCTATCTAGCATACACGGGGAACAATTTTAACTTAAAGTATAGATAGAATAACTTACCTTGTTGTTGTTTGTGTTCCTTGAAACCTTGTGAGCCTAGCACCCCAAGTGTGATGCCTCAAATGCTTCACACAACACCAAATGCTCTTGGAAGAACTTATGAGAGAACACACACTTCTCAAAATAGGCCAAGCCCTCTTGTTTCTTAGTGTAGCCGATTTTAGGTGGAGAACATGTTTCTTATATAGTGTTGACACATCTAGGGTTACACCCTAATGTGTCATGACTCTTCATTTCCATGACCCATGGGTTTGTAACTCCCATGGAGCATCCTATGGGTGGAACCCAACTTGATAGTCCATGGAGCCTTTTAGCCCACTATACAAGATATGGATGATTTACATAATCAACCCATATATTTAATTAGTTATCTTTTGATCACATAATTAATTCTAAATTAATTCTTGATCAAACTAATCAAATAATATTATTAATATATTAGAACTTATAATATATTAATAATCTCCAAGTGTTATTTCTCTCATTTAGTCTATCCAATTGCATGTGCCATGCAACCCAAATGGACCATGCCGGGTCGGGTCAAGTACATACCAGAAATAGTTATGGACTTAGACACCTTATCCAACAGTCTCCCACTTGGATAAGTCTAATAACTATTACTGCAAGTATGACTTCAGGAACCGATCGGCAATCGTAGCTCTTTACAAGGTTTCTCGAAACTGAGAAGATGATGGTACGCCATTTAAGATAAGTGATCATATAATCCTCTGTTCTAGATATCAGTCGGACAAATACATGGAACAATGTCTTACTTATTGTCCAACAGTTTGTTTCCCGATTTCCGATTTGTTTGACAAAGAACTTCATTGAACACATCAATTTAGTTCTGACCGGGCCCGGTACATAGGTCAAAACAAAATCATCGAGGGGCCCAGATATCAGCTTCTAATCCAAGAAGGAACAGATAAACTTCGACTCATATGTTTGTTCTACTACTCATTGAATTACACACAAGAGCGCGATTTATAACATCGAGTTACCAATGCATTTTTCGTACAATCAATGCATAACCAACTTGTAAGTAACAAATCATATCTCTAGGTTTAAAGACTTATATGATATTACCGTCTCACGATCACTCGAGATAGAATTCCATGAAGTGATTCCAGTGAGCGTGGGTTGAGTCCAATGCTCAGAACTTATGAGCACTCATGATTGCTGTAGCCTTGTCCAAGACCTCTACAACCAAACATGACAGTCTTGATTCATATCTACTTCCGACATATGACCGACTGTGGAGGTTTGAATAATATGTTATACCAAACAAAATTATTCTGGAAGTCAAAACATGCAAAAGAAATATAGTAAACGATCGACAAGAGATAGCAACACTTTACTCATAAATAAAACACTTTTATTCATCATCAAATGTCAATTACACTTTACAAATTTCGAGGTTATCTAACTACTAAATCTAATATCATCCTTCAGCCCTATGCTCCGAGCATGCTGGAGATGCTTAACCCGAGTCAGTCCCTTCGTGAGGGGATCTGCCGGATTCTCATCTGATGATACCCTCTTTGCCACGAGGAGTCCTTCTTCGATCCGATGTCTGATGAAATGGTATTTTCTGTCGATGTGTCTGGATCTCCCGTGATCCCTTGGTTCCTTGGCTAAGGCAACAGCACTTTCACTATCACAGAAAATTTCCATTGGCTCTTTAATAGCTGGTACAACTCCAAGGTCTCCAATGAAGTTCCTCAGCCATAACGCCTCCTTTGCCGCCTCGCTAGCTGCAATATACTCTGATTCACAAGTAGAATCTGCCACTGTCTCTTGCTTGGAACTCTTCCAAGAAATTGCTCCTCCATTTAGGGTAAAGACCCAGCCCGACTGAGAGCGGAAGTTATCCCTATCAGTCTGGAAGCTAGCATCACTATACCCTACAACTCTCAAGTCATCACTCCCACCGAGGGTAAGGACCCAGTCCTTAGTCCTTCGTAGGTACTTGAGAATATTCTTTACCGCAGTCCAGTGTGCCTTGCCAGGGTTCCCCTGAAACCTGCTAACCATGCTCAGGGCAAAAGCTACATCAGGTCGAGTACACGTCATAGCATACATGATCGATCCTACAGCCGAAGCATAAGGTACTCGACTCATTTGTGCTATCTCAGCCTCAGTGCTAGGGCTTTGTGTCTTACTCAGTTTGGCGTTACTCTGGA